GTTTTGGCTCAATCTGCTGCACTATTGTTCAATAGGCAGTCAGTTAACTGAAAAACAGTTGGGAAGCAATCAGATTCAGAATTTTTCTGAAGAGACATGATTTCCTCTTCTTTTGCAAGTTGCCTTTCCCACAAACACTTAACCGACAGAAGTTTTTGTAACTCACTTTCCAAAATGTTTAACCCAGTTTTCACAGGAACAAAACCCTTTTCAGTCATATTCCATCCGTTTATGTGCTATTTAATTGCACTCATAGTTACAACACGTACACTGGGATAAATAACTTCGATACAAATGAACCCAGCTGACTCTTGGTGAGTCCGCTGCTCAGTGGCGAGAGCTGAAGTGCACGGCAGTGAGTCCTCCCGGCAGCAGCCAGAAAGGCTGTGGCCGTGCCTCTTCCTTCCCTCCTAAGAAGTGAGTCCTAACGAACCTGTTCTTCTCGGGTGGAGACTTCCTGTGAGCATGACTGCTGGTCACCAATGCTGCCCGGGCCCTGCACCGTTTGGCCCCGGGCTCATCCACTTCCTGTGATGACTATTCACATGCTCCACTTTCCTCTCCAACCTTTCCGTCTCCCCCTTCCCTCTCAGCCCATGAGCTTGTCTTTTATTTCACAAAGAAAACAAAAACCATCAAACTTCAACTTCAAAACCCAATAACTTACCTAGGTCTTCCCCATCATTTCTCCTTGCTCTATGGGACCACCCTGCTCCTGCCCCACGCGCTCCGGGTCCACCCCACACGCTCCGGGTCCCATCCACACGCTCCGGGTCCTCCCCACATGCTCTGGGTCCTCCCCACGCCCTCCGGGTCTCATCCACACGCTCCGGGCCCACCCCACACGCTCCGGGTCCTCCCCTCCACACACACACACGCTCCAGGTCCTCCCCACACGCTCCGGTTCCCCCACGCTCTCCAGGCCCTCACCACACGCTCCAGGTCCTTCCCATATGCTTCGGGTCCCCCCCACATGGTCCGGATCCCCCCACACATGCTCCGGGTCCCCCCACATGCTCCGGTTTCCCCCCCACGCGCTCCGGGTCCTCCCCCCCCCCCCTCGCATTTCGGGTCCTGTCCACACGCTCCGCGTCCTCCCCACACTCTCCGAGTCCCTCCCCTGCCACGCTCCGGGTCCCCCCCCCCCCCACACACACACCCTCGGGATCCTTCCCACATGCTCTGGGGCCTGCACATGGGACCAGTGCCAGCGGTGGCGCCTGCTCTGGTCTGCTCTTCACCCCCTCCCTCCCCATGGCCCTCTCCCTGCTGTCACACAGGCTCGGTCTGTGACAATGAGCAGCGGATCTGTGTCTGGCCACCCGGTTTCCATGCCCCTTCTGGGAAAACCTCCAGTGTGTGTGGTCCTGGTGGACCAGGGTGCCTCTCAAGGGAATCCATGGCCAGGCATCTCTGCATCCAAGGATGAGCACACGTGGCTGTGGGGCAGCCACGGCGCTCCTGCTCCCCCGGGACTTTGGATCTTGAGCAGAGAGGCCCGTGAAGGATAATCTGGAACCCTCCTTTCTATGTGGCGACAGGGCGTGGCAGGAGTGGCTCCTTCAGTGGGGGAGCCACCGTCTCAGAAAACCTGGCTTTGCTTCAAAGAACCAAGACAAACACTCTGGGATTAGCTTCCATTCTGAGATCCCTGCAGTTTCTCTTAAAGAGAGCAACACACTTTTATTGAGTTCAGAGAGAAAGAGAGAGGGAGAGATAAAAACACCAACCATCAGTGAGAATCATTGATTGGCTGCTCGCCCTACACTGGGGATCGAGCCCGCAACTGGGCATGTGCCCTGGCCCAGAACTGAACTGTGAGCTCGTGGCTGGCAGGTCAGTGCTCACCCACTGAGCCTTAGCGGTCAGCAGTCTTCCCTTACTGAGCTTAATTTACCCCGAGTTGTTTCCTGTTGCTTGAAATCAAGGCTATTAAGCAGACCATAAATCAGAACCAAAACCAAAACATCGCTCTCTGGACTTCATATCCCTTCCCCAGTGTCAGCTTTCCTTCTTCTCCCCGTTATGGCTGTGCTTGGACCAGTGCCTGGACCCGCCCAGCCTTCGGCTCTCCCCTCGACCGACTCCTCAGTCCTTTTCCGTGGAGTCTGCTCCAGCGCCTCGTCCAAGCTGCTTGCTCTACATGCCCTGGTCACACAATGCCCAGTGTCCCCCTTTCTCTCCTGGCTGCCCCCCTCAATCCTTGGCCTCAGGGTTACTCCCAGCTGGACCGGGACTGCAGTCTCCCCGGGGACCTCACCCACTCCTGCCACTTGAGGGGCCCTGTGCTGGGAACCAGGCTCCTGATGCCTCTCCACCTGGGTCTCCTCCACCCCCACCCCCTGCAGCCCCACTGGATTCCGGGGCCCAACATTTTTGCTCTTCTGTCAGGTCTCCCAGTCTCAGGAAATGGCCCTTGGCGAGAGCCTCCTCTCTGTACCAGAGCAACCGACAAACCCACTCCCACACCGAGCCGTCCTGCCTGTCTCTCCAAGACCTGGGGTAGGAGGAGCCTGAGAAATGTTTGATCGAATGACTGATAGCAGCAAGAACACTCTACAGAAACTTCCATAAGCCGGTCTTCTGCACAGCCCTGTGAGACGAGTATAATTACCGTCTCTGCAGGTGAGGAAATCGACACCAGAGACAGGAGCAGCGCCGCCTGGGCGTGGGACTGGAGAGCAAGTGAAGGTGGGGCGCTGGGATTGCAGTTTACATCCCACTCCCCGACCTGCTCTCCCTGGGAAGCGGGGGGAGCCTCCCTGCAGATGGAAGAGGACCGGGGGAACCAGAGGCCCAGCCGGACGCTGCTCAGGGAGCCTGGGGGCATCCCCTCCCACTGTGTCTGCGGCACTGGGGCGGCAGAGGCCGCGGACACCCCGCTCCAAGCAGGCGGCTGTGGAACTCTCGAGGTAAGGGCCGGGAGGGTCCCCAGGGGCTCAGGTTACTGGAGCCCCAGGTTTCAGTCCAAACTCTATGCGACCCCATGCAGCTCATCCCTTCTTGTGCTCAGTTGACTTCCCTAGAAAGCCTGAGTGAGATTGCTGAGATGGGGAAGGAGGGCCTTACTTACTCCTGGGCAGGAGTGGGTGGTGGCCTCAGTGACCAAGTCCCACACTTGTCCTCCAGGCTGTGTGGTGGTGGGCCAGGGCCTGGAGCCTCCACTTGACACCTTGCTGGCTTCCAGGGCTCAGCGCACCCCCCTTTCCGCCCCCCCCCCCCCACCTGCAGGCCTGGACTCTGCACTAAGACCCCACTGGAAAGGGAGGCTGGACTGACCAGGGTGGGGGGCAGAGAAGACAGGAGCCAGGCTTCCAGTCTTCGGGGGCAGGGCTGGGGCTGGGGAGCAGGCTGAGGTGCCCGTGGTTAGGAGCCCGGCAGGGAAGCATGAGGGCTGACCCGCAGGGCCAGGTGCCATGCCCACAGGGTAGCACCTGTCTTCCTGCGTCCCTGGGGCAAACCGATGAGGGCCAGCTCAGAGCTGCAGACATGGCACTAGGGCGGGGGCTGGGGGAGGGCTCCCCAGGCAGAGAACACACCGAGGCATGGGTGGCTGGGTGCCAGGCCAGAGCCACGCCTGCAGCCTCACACCCACAGCCCTCTCCCGGCGCGTGGCAGATTGTCTGGGGCTCCTGCCCGGCTCCATCTGCCTGGCCAGGGCTGGGGCTCCCTGCGACGCCCTGGCGCTGGTGCCAGCCGGGCTGGGAGGGCACAGGTGAAGCTGGGCCCAGTCTGCCCAGACCAGAGGATGTGGGAGGTGGCTCCGGGGGGCTGGGAAGAGGGGTGCGGACTCCGCAGAGCCGCACCGCACCGGAAGCCAGAGGTCCCTGAGGCTGGGCTAGTGGATGAGGGCCACAATGGGGCCAAATCTCAGGCTGGGGTCCGAGACAGGACAAACCCTCTTTCCGCTTGGCCAGGGGCGGCGGCGGGAACCTGTTGAGGGCGAACGGTGGGGGACGGCCCTCTGTTGAGCCTTTGCTACCGGAGCCAGGCGACGGCCCTGGGAGACGCGAAGAGAAGGGACCAGAGCCCGCGGGTCCCGGCTGGGGGTTAGGTCCTGGCTGGGGGGCAGGTCTGGCTCGGGGGTCAGGACCCTGCTGGGGGGGCAGGACCCGGCTGGGGGGTCAGGACCCGGCTGGGGGGTCAGGACCCGGCTGGGGGGCGTTCCCAGGCCGGGCGGCTCCGGAGGCGGGGGTGGGGGTGGGGGTGGGGGGAAGGCCGGCGCTGCGGGCGGCAGGCGGCAGGGAGGGTGCGGGCTCCGGGCGCGTCCGGCTCCCCCGCACGGTCAGGCGCCGCCGGCTGGGGTCCCGGCGGTGGCTGGAGGCTGGACACTGAAACTGAGTGGGGATCCCCGCCAAAGGTGGGGTCCAGACGCGGCGGGAAAGAGAATGTGGGCTGGCGGGCGGGGTCCGGGCCCAGCGCACGAGGCAGGCGTGGAGGGGCCGGGGGGCGGCGGACGGAGGATGGGGCTCAGAGGGCCAGGGGCGGGCTGGTACCCGAGGGGCGGGCCCGGAGTCTGGGGTCCGGGCGGGTCGGAGCCCGCGCCTGGCAAAGGGCGGGGCCGAGGTGACGGAGGACGGGGCGGGGCCGTGACGCCGCGGCCGGAGGGGCCGGGACCCCGCGGGCGCCGGAGGGCGGGCGGAGGCGCGGGCTCGGGCCCAGGTGAGCGGCGCCCCGGAGCCCCGCGCGGCCCCGGACGTGCGCTGGGTGTGCGGGGTGCGCCGCCCGCTCCTCTGGGCCCCGAGCACCTGTGGCCGCAGGAGAGCGCCCGGCCCCGGCCCCAGGGTGAGGGCGGCGGCCGGCGGCCGGCGGCCCGGGAGGGGGCTGGGCGGACGGTGCCTCCGCGGCCCCGCTCCTCCCGGCCCTGCTCCGCGCCCTACCCGCGCCGTCTTCCGCCCGGCCTCCATTCACTCCGCCCGGGCCGGGTCCGGCCTCACCGCTCCTCTCCCTCCCCCGCTCCGTCCTCCCTCGCCCCTCGCCCCGCACCCCGCGCCCCGCGCCCCGCACACCGCCCAGCCCAAGCCTCCTTCGCTCGGACCCCCGCCCCGCCATCTCCCTCGGCCATGCTTGCTGCTGGCGCGGCCGGCAGCCTGGCGCTGGGCTGGCGCGGAGGCCTGTCCGTGAGTCAGGGCGCTGTGCGGGGCGGGGCGGGCGCCTGCCTGGGGTGCGGTGAGGGTGCTGGGCCTCGGCCGGGCGGGTGGTGTGCAGAGGGCCTGTGCGCCCACCCTGACGTGTCTCTGGGTGCGGCCTGGGCCCTAGGGTGCATGGGCGCCCGCGAGCATGCCGGTGGGGGCCGCCAGCCACCGGTGTTGGGCGGCTGGGCCTGCAGCGCACCTTCTCCAGGTGCCTGTGGGGAGTGCGGGCAGGGCCTCCTCCGTGGCTGAGGGCCGAGCTGGTGGGTCCTTGGGGCCTCACCCAGGCCTGCCCTAGAGCCCTTTCCTGGCACAGCTTTTCCCTGGTCGCCGTTCACGAAGTGCTGTCTGTGGCGGACAGGCTCTGTCCCATGCAGATGTCAGGTGGCGCTGGGGGTGAACCAGACCACCTGCTGAAGGCTGCCGCACCCCATTCCGCAGGGAGGGGTTTCTGAGGGTGTGCCCTAGCGGGTCCCTGGGGCTAAGTTTAACAGCTTTCCCTCCAGACCACCTACATTGGCCTTTCCTGCTTGTGCTGGAGGGAGAAGGCCTCCCCTCCCTTCAGGGAGCCTTAGGCGACGTGCCACGTGTTGTCTGAGAGGGGGCCCGCCTCGTCCCCCTGGGCACGCACCAAGAGCCTGGCTCCCGTGCGGCCACACAGCAAGATTGGAATCTCTGACCAAGAGACCCGGCAGCCTGGGTCTCTGTAGACCTTGGAGCTTCTACTCAGTGACGTTGGGTGAGGCTGCGCGGGAGACTGGCCGCTCCTCCGAGAAGAACTGCAGCCACAGGAAGTCCCGCGTGGGCCCCACGGGATTGGCCACTTACAACTCTGATTGGCATCAGCTGTGGCAGGAGGGAGGCCATTAAAGTGTCATCCCCAGGGTACCAGGGGTCCTGGCTGCCTCTGTGTTCTCGTCCTTTATCTTGTGCAGCATCTTCCCAGGGACCTTTGGGGTGAAACCAGAGCCTCCCCAGGTTTTAAGGCAGATAGATGGGCATGCCGTCTGGGCGTCTAGAATGCTGACTCCGGCCCTGTGTGTCTGTCTGTACCGAGCCCGCCTGTGCGTGCCTGGCCTCCCCGGTTAGGTTCGGAGTAGTCTGGGGAACAGTGGCGAGGAAGGCGCTGGGGACACTGGTGCCGGCCTGGTCCTAGGGTGGCACGGAGTTGGGAGCGATTGGGAAGTGAGACTAGAGTCTTAGCGGCTTCCGAAGAGTCCCCACCAGGGCCAGTCCCCACGGCACCTTGAGCAGAAGCAACCCCTGGTGGAAGGGAAAGAAGTTACTCACAGTCATTCCAGACAGTGTGTGTGCCATCACACGAGTCTCCACAGAGCCCTGCAGGTGCTTTTCAGACTGGGGAAACCGAGGCTCGGAGAGGTGAGGAGTCCTGAAGAGAGCCAGTGAGGAAGCAGACGGCTTGCTGTCTGCTCACCTGTGGCTGTGCTGCACCTGCGGCAGCTCCCATCATTCCCTGCGAGGCCCCCTTTCTCTGAGAGTGAGGGTGCGGGAGACCTCCTCTCCTTGGAGGTGGCCTGGGTCATTGGCCTCCGAGCCCTTCCTGTGCTAGGGCTGGGGGGCCAGGCTGTGAGGAATTCACAGTTGGGGTTCAGCCCTGGGTTCCTGGATGTCTCGGAGCTGCTCCAGGTCTCAGTTCTGTCACCGGCACTTGTGGAGTGGCTGAGGAGAGAAATCAGCAGATGCACAGCACCCCCTCCTCTGGGTCTTCGTCGTCACTCTCTCTGGGCACTAGGGCCCTGGGCACTGGGGAGCCGCCTGGTGAGGCAGGCACGGGGTCCCTTGTCGCTGACAGCTTCTCACTTGTGCCTGGCGGGGTATGATGGCACCCCAGCCTCATTCCTCCGTTTCCTGGGGGCCGGGGTCTGGCGTGGTTCTTTAAGGCCTTGCTCCCTAGGAGGGTAAGGGTAGTGGAGCTGAGCCAGAGGCTGGGAGGCTGTCCCGATGCCGTCTTTGTGGTGTTCTTGGGCCTGCAGCTGGTGGTTGTCTGCCTACCAGAGCCGTCAGGACCACAGCCTTCCCAGCCAGCAGTGCATCCCCCCCGCCCCCCCTCCTCAGGCGAGTCACTGGACCCTCTGAGCTTTGGTCTTGTCTGTAGAATGGAGTGATGACGTAGCTCACGAAGTTGCTCTGACCACTAACAGACTGCTGGAAAGGAGGTGGCACATCCTGGCACATGGGGGGATTTGGTCCTGGGAGCTGTCATCGTCATCATCACCCTCATCATCACTGTGGCTGCTTTTTGCCCTTTTCTGTTTCTATGTCCCTCATCACACCCTTGAGAGCCTCTCTGGCCATTCATCCTCTTCATGATCTTCCAGGGACCACACTGGTGTTGGCCCCAGGAGCAGCCAGGGTGGGCATTCCTGCCAGGCTGGGGCTGGTCTGACCACTGTGGCCCGTGCCTTCTGTGCTGGACAGTGCGGGGCGGAGTCACCGCGGGAGCTGTGCTGAGCTGGCTCACAGTCACCCGGGAGCTCTCAGGCCACCGCAGGCTCCAAACATCCTCCCGGGCCCGAGCGGCCACCAGCCGCCGCTGGGCAGGGACGGCAGAAAGTCTAATTACACAGCAGTGAGTTCCTGAGGTCTCCCCGTATTCCCTGCCCGGTGGCCTTGCTCACTGGCTAGGGTGGTTAGTTTCTATTTTATTTTAATACATTTCTTTATTGATTTGCGAGAGGAAGGAAGAGGTAGAGAGATATAGAAACATCAATGATGAGAATTATGTCTCCTGTACGCCTCCCACTGGGGATCAAGCCTGAAACTGTCCTTGGCCAGAATCGAACCTGGGACCCTTCAGTATGCAGGCCAACGCTCTATCCACTGAGCCAAACTGGCGAGGGCTTTTATTTATTTATTTATTTATTTATTTATTTATTTATTTATTTTGGGAGTGGTGTGGTGCTGGTTAGTTTTTGGCAGTTCTCATCAGCCCAGTGAGGAGGGCAGGCCTGGGGTTGCCCAAACTGCCCCTGTCGCAGGCTGTTCTGGTCCAGTTTCTCCAGCTCGTCTTGCCAGGCAGGACGTCCCGGCGTGATGCTCCTCTCACAGCTTTGCCAAGGCAAGGCTGGCCCAGATGCCTGACTTCACGCTGGGGCTCATGCCTGCTGTCCCCACCCCATTCCTTACCCACGCACCCTGTCCCTCTCCCCCTGGCATGCCCTGGCCTCCAGGAAACCCTTTCTGACCCAGCACACAACTTCGGCCCGCGCTTGGCAAGGCCTTGTTTCTGGTGCTCAGCTCGTGCCTCCGCGCTCACTCCTGTGCTCACTGCCCTCGGCCAGGCAGGCAGCACGCATCCTCTGAGCATCAGCTGCAGCCAGGTCAGTGCCGGTGCTGGGCAGACAGGCGGCAGCCCCAGGCTGCTCACAGCCTCAGGCCAGTCTGGTGCCAGCCCAGCTCAGGGGCGCTTCCCCAGCAGGGTGCTGAGGTGCAGGGCCAGTGCAGAGGGGTCAGTGGGCGGTCTCCAGGGGTCTGTGCAGCTGGAGGAAGGACCAGGAACAGAGGGAGGGCGGGGCAGGAAGGGTGCAGGCCCACTTTGCAAGAAGGAGTGTGCACTGGATGGCGGGCGTGTCTGATGGCTGGTCTGGGACCCATTCCCAGGGCACAGCTGGTCTAAGTGAGTCAGAGCTGCAATGCAGTAAGCTCGGGCTGGCTGAGGAGGGAACAGAGCTGAGAGTGCTGCCTGTGAGGGCTGGCGTGGGGCCTCTCCTTGCCCCGGAGCCAGGGTGGGGGTCAGCAAACGCTGCCCTTTCACAGCTGAAGACTGAGTTCCAGGGACTGCCTGCTCAGCCAGGCTGGGCCGAGGGAACGGGGTCGGCCATTTTCACTGTGCCCGCGTTCTGCTTATCCATCCGCACACCTGTGGTCCGGCTGCGTCCCAAGGAGTCAGCCCCCAGTGCAGGGCCCGATGGGTACTGACAGGCCCGGGAGGAACAGGCTGGTGTTTGTCAGTCGAGCTTTACTGGTTATGAAAATGTCGCCGTGCTCCTGTGCTGAGTGACTGAGCGCTGTTGTCTCAGCCCCACCCAAAGGCCCTGCACGTGGCTCTTCCCGGCTCCCCCCGCGTGATCCGCAGCAGCGCCCGTCCTGGCCTGGCGTGTTTCTGGCTGCTTGCTGTGTGTAGTGCGGTTCCTGGACAATGTGTGATGCCCTGGGCTTCCAGGGCCTGTGGTCCTGCCGCGGCCGTGCTTGTCTGATGCCTGAGCGGCAGGGCCCGGCCCGGGGGAGCCACAGCGGAGTCTCAGGAGCCCCGCCCTCACCAGCTCCTTCTCTCTCCCCGCAGGCAGCCATGAGCGCCAGCTGCCCTGACCCCGGGGCCCCGGCACGGAGCCCCCCGCCAAGATCCCTGTCCCGGAGCTCCTCCAGCCTGCTGGGTGACGGCCGGGGCCAGAGGCCGGAGCTCCGGAAGAGTGCCAGCAGCACCGTGTGGCAGGCCCAGCGGGGCACCAGCGCGGGTCCCGGGACGCAGGAGGAGGGGCCCCCCGCGGAGAGCGCGGAGCAGGCGCAGGGCCCCGGCCCCGGCCCACAGCCCGCGGTCATGGGCCACTGGCGGAGCAGCACGGTGGGCAACGTGTCGGCTGTGGATGGCGGTGACCTGTGTCGCCTGCGGGTCCCCAGCGCGGCTGCTGTGCAGAGGAGCCACTCGGACCTGGCCCGCCCTCAGCCCCGGGGCCACAGCGGGGCTCGGAGGGCCAGCCTCAGCTGCTCCGCCCTCGGCAGCTCGCCGGCCCACAGGGCGCGGGGGCAGCCCGGCGGCGCCTCTGGCCAGGGAGGCCAGGCCCCCGCCAGCCCGGAAGGGGACCTGGCTCCGGAGGACGGGGCGCTGAGCTCGGCCTGGACCCTGGGAGAGAGTCAGGTGTGGGCGTCGCCAGGAGACCCGGGAGGCACACCCAGCCACGGCAGCAGCCCCAAGGCCAAGCCCAAAGCCACCGGGCAGTCAGCCGCCACCTGCCGTGCTCTGCCCCCAGCAGCTCTGCCCTGTGACATGAGGGAGGAGGGCGCCCGAGGCTCCTGCCACGCTCTGCCCGCCCCGGGGGTCCTGGCCTTTCCCAAACTGGTAGCATCAGTGAGTGAGTCTGGGCTGCAGGCTCAGCGTGGGCTGAAGGCCCCGTGTGGGTTACCCGGGGGGCATCCTGGGCCTTCCCACTGCTGTGCCCATCCCTGGGGCCCCACCGGCTCAGCTGTGGAGCCTGGCGTGAGGACCAAGGACGTGTGGACCATGACCTCAGCCAGTGACCTGGCCCCAGTGCTGGTGTCCCCTCCGTCAGCCCAGGATGCGGGCGTGCAGGCGGCCCCCGTGGCGGTGTGCAAGGCCGTGGCCACCAGCCCGCCCCTGGGAGTCCCGCTGGCCCTGCCCCCATTCCCGGAGGTAGCTCTGGGCTCTGGGCTGGAGGAGGCGCCGTCCCCTGTGCGGGATGTGCGGTGGGATGCTGAAGGCATGACGTGGGAGGTGTACGGGGCTGCACTGGACCCTGAGGTGCTTGGCGTGGCCATTCAGAAGCACCTGGAGATGCAGTTTGAGCAGCTGCAGCTGGCACCTGCCAGCGAGGACAGCCTGTCCGCCGAGAGCCGGAGGGGGCCGCTGCGGGCTGTCATGCAGTCGCTGAGGCGCCCCAGCTGCTGCGGCTGCCCCAGCGCAGCCCCAGAGTGAGGAGCCGTGGCCCCAAGGGCTGCCCCGCCCCTGGACTCAGCGCCCGCCCCCCAGCCCCCAGGGACAGTGGGGGCCCCAGGCCCTCTGGACCCACTGGCAGCTCTGGACACATCGTGCTGTCAGCTGCCAGCAGACTTGGGACTTCAGCCTGGGGACTTGCTGCTTGCAGCTGGGCTGGTTTTAAGGGCTTAATTCCCACGGCCACATCTGCACGCGGGGCCTGAACTTGGCGCAGTTCCAGTGCCGTGTACGAGGGAGGTCCTGACTTTCCTGTAAAAATCCTCTCCTCCTGTCCAGTCTCTTCCGGACTCTGCTGTGGTTTCCTCCAGCGTCGCTGAGGCTTTCCCCAGAGCAGAGCTGAGACGAGGAATCCTTGACATGAAACGGGCCCAGGAGGCTGGTCACTGGGTCTTTAGTGACGGGACCTGATGCTGCCAAAGGCCTCCTGTGTGCCACACCACTCGGCACTGGCCTTGCCGAGTCTTCACGCACGGACCAAAGCGCAGGCCTATGGCCGGGCCGTGGCTGATGTCCCGGGTCAGACGTCAGAATGGAGGCTGAGGTTCAAAGCAGGGCTGGCTGCGCCTGGGTCTTCTGCAGCTCCCCGGCCAGCCAGCCAGCGAGGCGGCTGCGAGCGAGGCCTGCTCTGTGCCAGGTCTGGGTTCCTTGGGGAACGAGACGGGCTGCGCGTGCTCGCTGTGCTCCCGCGTGGAAGGGGCCACCGGTACCAGGGAGCTGAGCTGTAAGAAAGGCCGCAGGTGTGTCTACGCGTGGCTCGTCTGTCACTGTGTCTGGGGCGGCCTCAGGAATGGGAAACCGGTGACCCAAATATGTCTCAGTCCCCAACTTGCACATTATTACCTCATTCCTTCGGCTTAAGGATTTATTTTCAGCTGGTGCAGTTATCCAACGAAGGGAGGGCAGGGATGGTGGGTAGAGGAGGGGTCTCCCACTGGTGGGAAATGGCAGGGGCTGTGAGGCTGTGGGCCTATTTGCCCCTGAGACATGGGCCAGGGCCCCTGGGGCCAGGGGATCGTGGGAGGGGGGGTGGTTCCAGGACACCAGGGCTTGACACAGCATGACGACTGCCCAAGGATCTCCCCAGGCCCACGGAGGATGGAACGGGCTGTGTGCTCGTCCTGGGGCTTAGAGTTGAAAATCCAAGCTCCCGGGACAGAACCTGCCAGCCCACCTCTGAGGAGCCAGGTCAGTGTCTGCCGAGGGTCGCGGGCACGGGAGGGCCCTGCCCGTGATGTGGCCCTCTCCTGGCCTGACAGAGGCTCCCCCTGCCCCAGGGACTCCCTGCCGCGGAAATGATCCTTTGGATGCAGGAGTGACATGCTACCAGCCGGGGAGCGCGGTGGGAAAGGCGTGCTTCTGGCCAGAATGCCTCCCAAGGCCGCTCCCTGGGCTTTACGCAGAGCCATGCCATTCTCACTCCTAGCAGCTGGGCTGGTAGAACCATGCCACCCTGCTTAAAAATGACAGCCAATCAGAATCACTGCCAGTGAGGCGGGGCAGAGGGTTGGCCTCGCCCCCCTTTTAAAATGGGCCAAGCAGGTTTTCCTGAGGCCCTGAGGCCTGGCTTCTGTCTCTGCAGCTGGGACTGTCCTGTGTGTGGTGTGGGAGGGCGCTTCACGTCCTGGAGTTACATGGGTTCTGGCTGTCTTCACGCCCAGCCCTGCCCAGGCCTCCCGGAGCCCAGGCACCTGTCTGGACACGTGGGCAGAGGGGTGTACCCGGCAGAGAGCAGCCTCGGCGGGCCTGGCAGGTGCCTGTGGTCACGCTGCTTGGCTGCTGTGTGCCAATCTGTGCCACCTCCAGGCTGCACCTGGCAGGCCGGGATGGCGGGCTGGGCCTGGTCCCAGGTGGGAAGGATAGTGAAGCCGCCCACCCACCTCATCTTGACTGAGATGCGTCCTTGCAGGTGGCGCCCCGGAACACGGCCCTGGAGAGCTCGCTGCCTGAGCTGCAGGATGGGCCTGGGCCTCACCAGCCAGGCTGCTCAGCCCGGCCACTGGATGGACCGCAGCTGGATCTGGATTTGCCCTGGAGACAGACCACCCGCCTCCCGCCTGCCCCTCCTGGGCAGCCTGGCCGCAGTGCTCAGGCTTCAGGACTGGCCGCCAGCTTGGTTTGCAGGTCTCCGCTCAGACCCCACGTTCTGATCAGACTTTCTGCTCTGGGAGGTGGTGGATCTCATTATTTGTGCGTTTATTTTGAATTTGAAATAAAGTATTGGAGGTTGGAGCTTTGCCTTGGAAGGGTTGTTGAAGGATAGTCTTTTTCGCTTGTAGATTCTGTCCTGTGGAGCCTCCATCCAGATTCCTGGAGCTCCATCCTGGACGAGAACCCCCTCTTGTAGGTCCCTGTCCCTCCTGCCTGGCAGCATGGCCAGCACACAGGGCGGCATCTCTTGTCCAAGCTCCAGGCTGCTGTCCCCCTTGCAGGGAGTCACTAGTCCACCTTGGGGGTCACTATGGGGAGGGGGTGTGGTGTGCGCAGAGTGTGGATACTGCTGGCCTAAGGGCACAGAGCCAGGAGGTGGAAAAGCCAGAATGGCCCTATCCCACAGTGACATCACTTTCTGTGTCGTTGAGTCTGCCCCTTGGAAGTGCTGGATTCTTAGTCCATGGCCATCAGACAGGCCTTCCCAGCGCAGGTCCTGGCACTGAGGACGCGGGGGTGGGGCGCTCAGTGGTGTGAAACCTGAGTTTGAGTCCTGGGTCTCACCGACAGCCATTAGCTCTTGGGCAAGTTACTAACTTGGCTGATCCTCAACGTCCTCACCTGTCAGAGGGTGTGGTAATGGGCCGCCTCCTTCGGCTGGCTGTGAGGATTAACCGGACTAACCCCCGAAAAGTGTGCCGGGGGCATTGGGGTCCACTTCTCCAGCCACAGGGAGGGGCTCGCTCTTGCCTGTCTCCTTGGCCGTCCCTCATTCGGAGCCTCTGCCGGGACCTCTGCCCTCTGCTCTGCACCTTGCTTGGAACGTGCGTGCTCTGGCCAGAGCCGTGCTGGGACCACACCACTCACCACTGGGTTTATTAAGGGAGGCGGGGAGGGGGGAGCACAACGTAGGGGAGGGACAGGAGCCTAGCCAAGGGTGTGAGTTCAGGTAGATCTCACTTCAGGGAAAGGCCTTGGGGAGGGGAAGAGGGTGGAGGAGGCATGCAGACAGCATGCTCCAGGAGCCCTGGGAGGCCTCTGCCCCAGGCTGTAGGGCCTTTCCCAGGGGAGGGTGCACAGAAGCCACGTGCCCCTGAGGGGCCCGGCACTCATGCCCTGAGCAGCCCCTCCCCCAGGAGGCTCCGAGCACGAGGCCCACAGGCCCCAGCCCCTCTGCGAGTCCTCTGAAGCAGCTCACTGTGCTCACGCCAGGGCCCGAGGTCGCACGCGCGGAGCTTTGCGGTGCTGCGTTAATCTCTCCTTCCCCCTCTGGCCGGGCCCAGCTTTTCACTGAGGCTAAGACAAGTCCTTTGTCAGCCTGCATCCCACTTGCTAGGCAGCACGGGGTCTGACGGGACCTGAGGTTGTCACTGGGTCAGCACTGGTCCCCATGTCCCTGTGACCCACAGTCTCCTGGGCAGATTTGTTGAAACCCACCCCTTCAGCATCAGAGCTCTCTTCCCCCACCTCCCGGCCAGAGACCCTCACCTCCAAGCAATCAAGGCGGGCAGCGGGCCTGCGGGACTGGTCCCTGCATGGCGGTTCAGGCGGTCATGGCTTCCTTGTCGGAGCTCTTAGCTGCTTCTCTTCACCAGCTGTTCAGGAAGTTTGAGACCAATCGCAAGCGCAGATTTCCAGACTCTATCTTCTTACTCTTCTTTCCAGCCACCCACCCCCAGCCCCGGCACCCTCCTCTTGGGCATGCTGTGGTCACTCCGTCCCTGGAGGAGACGGTGGAGGTGAGGAGGGTGCCGCTGGCCACAGCTGTCCCAGCGCCCTGGGCAGCTCCCGCCTTGGCGGGGACCTCTGTGGAGCTGCGGGGGGCCTGGGAGGCCTCCCCCTCAGAAGAACCTGGGCCAGTCCCGCTGTGTGGCTGCAAAGCGATAATAAACCAGGCAAACATCTCAGAAAAGCCCGAGTTTATTTAAGAAAGCCGAACCAAACCAAAGTGGCATTAGCTTATGGCAGTAGCTGGCAAACTGGCCCCTTGAGTGTGGCTCTTCCACAAACTATCACGGCCTAGAGGCGAGTCTGTTTTGAAGAAGTGGCGTTAGAAGAAGTTTAAGTTTAAAAAATTTGGCTCTCAAAAGAAATTTCAATAGTTGTCATGTTGCTATTTGGCTCTGATGACTGATGAGTTTGCCGACCACTGGCCTAGGGGATTAGGAATGGTCTGGGAGGGGGCGCCCTCTCTTGCTCCGAGTTGGGTGAACGGAGCCTTTGCTCCCCTCTGCGGCCACTCCCCATGGCTCCCGCCTCATCTCTCTGCCTCCGCGTCCCAGGTGGCTAGGCGAGGAGGCAGGCCTGAACCCTGCCCCTGTGCTCCCAGTGCTGCCCTAGAACCCACTCCCCATGACCGCCCTCTGGGAGGGAGAGGAGGGGTGCGGGCTTGGGGCGGGCCTGTGGCTTTTAGCCACGTGCTCAGTCTGTCCTGAACCTTTCATTTCCCAGCACCTCAGCCCCCATGGACATGGCGATGGCAAGCGGCACCTCCGGGCGTACGGCCAGAGGCGAGTGGGGAGGGCAACTCAGCTGTCCTGTCCCCACTGTCCCCGGCGCTCTTCTCCCGTGTCCTCTTTGCCCCTAGAAACCTTCTGTCACGCACAGTCCACCTGCCTGGCCCCGCTCCCGCCCTCCTGCCCTGCTCTGCCCTGCACATCCTCCGCCAGCAGCAGTCCTTCGGGTCTGCACTGCCCCTGCCATCGCTGGGCTGGCCCTCGGCACTGGCTGCCTCATTCCCCGAGTCTGGCCCTCCTCTTCGAGGTCCTTGCCCTCTTGTGAGCTCCTCCTGGAGAGGGAGGCTCCCTGGGACACCGGGGTTGCTGTGTCCGGTTTCCCCGCTGTTGCCCACCAGGAGCGGATGGCTGTCAGTGGTCCTGTGGGGGCGCTGCCTCAGTCCTCAGTGTTGGGGACCCTTGTAGAGCCTGGCGGGCACCAACGGGCAAGTGGGTGGGTGACGCCTGTCTGTGGGCTTTAGGCGGGCCATCTCCTCTCGTGGTTTCCAGTGCTCCGTGCGTGGCTGCAGTCAGGTGTGCGTGGTGGCGCGGCTGGGACACTCTGTGCTGCCCTCCCTGTCCTCTGTCCTATGTGGGCCTGCGCTGTGACTAGGCGCCTGGGGTGGAGCCGGGGCAAGACTTGTCTCTGCACCTGAGAAGGCCTGAGGAAGGCCCATGGGGAGCACTGCTGGGCTGGAACTTCCCAGCTCACTGAGTAACCAAACGTGGATGCTAGAGCCCAGCTGGGGAGAATGGAATCACCCCTCACCCAGGCCCTCAGGGCTCCTCACTTCAGCCTTCTGGCTCACCCACCCGCTGGTCACTCCCATTTTCATTAGAAAGGTGGTGGCCACAGGCGCCATTTTTTATGAGAGCTTTGAGGCATCTGTAAGGAAGACTCTCTGGTTTGACTTTCTTTCCCGCAGAACTGGGGGGATTCGGGAAACAGGGAGGGGCTTCTTGTGAAGATTCCGGCTCCTGAGCTCTGTTCCCCCCAGGAATCCCCTGTTGTACCCCCTGGGCATGGCCACATCCTCCTGGGTGGCCACACCACAGCCTGGGGTCTGGATGGGAGCCAGGAAGCAGCTGGCGTGGGCTCTGCAGGGACACAGGCCCAGCCTGGCTGAAGGGCAGGCCAGCCAGAAGGGAAATTGGATCCTACCTTTATTCGAATTATCGATCTTTATCATTATTTTTTGTTAATTTTGATTTCAAAATATTGCACATGTATCTCAATACCGAGTCTTCTGCTGGGCCTTCTCTCCGGGGGCCCTACGTCTCCCGGTACCTTCGGCTGTGGAATTGGGGCCGGGAGCAGGGGCCTCCTTTTCTCCACCCTCCACACCCGCTGTGGTGGGCGCAGAGCGGGGCTGGGAGGGTGGGTTCTGGGCTGGAGGGGAGGTGGGTTGTGGGTCCCAGGCAGCTGGGTGGGTCCCTCCAGGGCTCGGCGGTCTGGCCCGGGAGCGCGCCCGCGGGAGGAGCTCTGGCGCCACCTGGTGGCCGCGCGACCGCCCTCCAGGGGCTCCCGGGCCCGGCTGGCAGCTGCACACCGTGCGTGCGGGGCGGGAGGAGGGGAGGGGAGGGTGGGGACCGGAGGGGAGGGTGGCGGGAGGTGTCATGTCCCTGCGGGCTGGGACCAGGGCCTTCCCCTCCCGGCCGCGCCTCCTCCGGACGCTCCGGCCCGGAGTGCAGCAGAAGGTTCCCGCGGGAGGCTGAGCTGCAGAAGGGGGAGGAGACAGTGGAGGGGCTGCAGTCCGGGCAGGGGACCTCGGAGCCTGGGGCTGGGCGGGAACCTCTTTCTAGTCCCCCCCCCCCCCCCATTTCCCCCCATCCCACTCCCTTCCCCCCATCCCCACCCCCCGCGGGCTGGCTGCAGGGCCCGGTCCTCAGCCCTTCTTCTAGGTGGGCTTTTGTACCCTCGGCTCGCCTTCGGGTTTACCCAGAGCCTCTGACTGTCCCGCGGTCCCCCCCAGCAGGGTCCCCTTCCTGGGCAGGGGCAGCAGGCGCAGAGCACGGGGTGTGTGTGTGTGTGTGTGTGTGTGTGTGTGTGTGTGAAGGCGAAGGTCCTTCCCTGTCATTTCTTTCCTGGATGATGTCCCGCTCCCACTGGCCCAGGGCCGCTGTGGGTGTGGGTGTGGGTGTGGGGGGATGGCAGCGAGCGAGCTTGGAGGGGCCGCTCCTGGCAGGGCCCGGCCTCGGGAGGCAGGGGCGCGGAGGGCCCGGGAGGAGCGGGCCTGCGAGGGCGGGCGTCCAGGACGCACACTCTGGCCCGCCCCCCCCCCCCCAGGCCTCTGCGGGGGCATTGCCCTTGGCACATCTTTGGCTGCAAGTAAGTGCATTATGAACCAAAAGTTATCCAAAAAACGTGAATGTCTAGTTTCTCATTTAATTCTTAGTCTCGCTTAATAATTTGGGAGTCACCGTTCTAGACCAGGCTGAGCGGCTCAGGGAGGGAAGAACTAGAGCATCTTCCCACAGCAGGGCTCTGCCACCCTCAGGGTGTCCCGGTCACCTGCTGCCCCGCCAGCGCCACCTCCTTCCTCGGGAAGAAAGCACAGTCTGCCTCAGGGCTATCCGTGCAC